CTAAAATTTGGTATGGATCCTGAATATCCCACCAAATCGCAATACAAGACCAAATGTCCATTAACTCTCGACAAGTGGCAAAAAGATGATCAACCATCTCAACCATAAGGGAACAAATAGGACACAAAATTAAGTCTGATATAATAACTCTATGTGAAATTCTCTCTCTAGTTGGAATACTCTATAACCAAATCCTCCATATAAGAATATTGAGCTTGATGGGAACCCAATAATTCCACCGAGTCTCAATACTTAATAAGCCACCATCTAAATAAGCACGAGCAGAAGAGACCGAGAAAGTATTTGACACATCTAGGAGCCAACCCAATCTGTTTTGGACCAAATTTAGGTTAACATTATGCATCAGTGAAAAGAAATTATTCCACTTGGTTTGCTCAATACCAACTCTAGGAATTCTTTTGAGAGACGCAACATCCAACCAATGTCCAACCGCTCTGTAACTGTAGCATACCTATGAACATCCAAAGCAAAAATGATGTGAAAAATGACTGCAAATGGCGAATCTCCCATCCAAACATCATGCCAAAAGGAATTGTGTCTCCCATCTCCCACCTGAATAGGACACATGAACTGAAGATCAAAATCTTTTTTCTTTCAGCTGACTCAACATATGAATAATTCCATTCCAATAACCTAACCAGGACCTCTAAGGAGTAAGAGAGCTACATCCAACATCAATGCCATAAATAGATGTGAACAACCAGACCCACAATAAGTTAGGGCAGTGATAAAATCTTCACCACTATTGAAAAAACATAACTATGTTGACGGAATATAAGGAACAAACTCTCAAACCACATTCTCCTCTAAAAGCAAGGACCTTATCCCAACCAACCCAATACATATGTCGCTCATCCAGACCTGCACCCTAAAAATAAATCGCCTGCAAAGCCTCCAACGACTTGATGATAGAAATTGGGGTCAAGAACACCGACATAAAATTACTACCCAAAGATCTAATAATAGACTTAACCAAAGTAAGGTGCCCTCCATACGAAAGATTCTTGGCCTTCCAAACCGATAACGTACTCCGAAAATGATGTAAAATGGGAGACCAAGAAAAAAATATGTGTCATGTTCTGACCTACCAGGATACCAAGATGAGTGAAAGGAAGATCAACAGAAGCACACCCCAGTCTACGAGCACCCCAATCCACCTGGTTAAACGAGAATCCAACTTAAGACCCCATTCCATAAAAAACATCTCAGAATATGATTAGCATTTCCTGGTTCCTAAGGAGATAACAAAATGGAATCATCAACATAAAAAATGAGATATCTCAGGCCTAGAAATAGAAATCCACATAAACACATTAGCCTCATTTTCCTTAAGAAGAGAATATGAAGACCCTCCATAGCCAAGATAAATAAAAAAAGGGCACATGAGATCCCGTGTCTCAAGCCTCTATGAATTTGAAACTCTTGAGTCAGGGAACCATTAATCAATACTGAAGCTCTAGAAAATATCAATAGCTCCATAATCCAACAATAATGAAGAGACCTAAAACCCATAATATGCATGACCTCCTAAAGATAGTCCCATAAAAGGGAATCACAAGCTTTCTCAAAATCAACCTTAAACAACAACAACATATTTTTGCAAGGTTTACTCCATAGCCAAGATAAATAAAGAAAAGGGCACATGAGATCCCGTGTCTCAAGCCTCTATGAATTTGAAACTCTTGAGTTAGGGAACCATTAATCAATACTGAAGCTCTAGCAGATATCAATAGCTCCATAATCCAACAATAATGAAGAGACCTAAAACCCATAATATGCATGACCTCCTAAAGATAGTCCCATTGTCTCCAGAGAGCCTTGTGAGAAACCCTAGACCAGTTCCATCCATTGTGAGAGAGAGAAAGAGACTATTTTGGGTGCTCTTGTGCAACTTTGGAAGAAGATTTGGAGAACATCTTGGCATGGACCAGGGACGGACGTTTGGATCCAGACATTCTTCAGTGGTTAGCTTTTGTTGGAGGTAAAAGATGCTAACTTGATCATTCTTTGTGTAGATCTTGGTTTGGGGAAGTTTTTTGGGTTTTCTCCCATCCACCTTGTATTGTTGAGTCCCTTGAGCATATCTTGAGGTTGAAACCTCAGATATGGATGGTAGGAGGTCTTGTCAGGCCAAATACCCAAGCTTTATGGAGCTAGAGGCAAGATTTTGAGCGTCAAACCCTTGTAAGAGCTTGTATTACCATTATTGAGCCAATATGCCATGCATGAACATAAAGTTGCAAGCTTTACATGATATTTGATCTTTAGGGGGTCAAATCCAGAGTATGGAGTAGCATTTTTTGCCTTAAATTGTCTGAATGAGAATTAGACATAAGGGACTCGACGAGTCAGTTAGGGTTTACCCCGACGAGTTTGAGCATGTTGTAACTCAGCGAGTTGATGGTTCAAATCGACGAGTTGAGCTGGTTTTCATAAGGCTTCTGAGGAAACGAGGGGACTCAACGATTTTCTTTGATGCACTTGACGAGTTGGCTCAACAAGGACTGTTGATTCGAGTTGACTTCTATTGACTTTCAGGGTTATGACCAAATGTGAGTAATGGAGACCATGGAGGGGTAGAATGGTCTTTTAACCTTCCCAAAAGCTAAACAGGGGATAGTATGAGTTTATTTATAGTTGTGATTTTAATTAGAGATAGTTATCATATATATTCGGCGGAGCCTAGATCGGTGATTCGTGTACGAGGCGTATTTTCTTGCTTGCTTCAAGGTGAGTCTTCTCACTATACTTACCTAGAGTGGTAATATTTGTGTGACCGGAGGGTCTTATATGTTTATATTGAGTATTGTGATATCCTTCATTATGTCTTTGTGATTTATGTTGTGTATTATACTGAGCATACTGAATTAGGACCGGAGGGTCCACTCGAGTTGTGGGACCGGAGGGTCCCACTAAGACACATTGACCAGAGGATCTTATTCGAGCATAGCCATTAGAGGCTAATGAGATATGTGTGGTATTTTGGGGAACTCACTAAGCTTCGTGCTTACCGTGTTGTGTGATATGTGTTTCAGGTACTTTTCAGGATCACGGGAAGGCGCCGGCTAGATTGTACACACGAGAGAAAGAGTTATGTTTTGAGGATCCTAAATTTTTAATCAAACATTTATGGAGTTGTGTTTTAATAATTAGATACTTGAGTTTTTTTTAAATATGTTATGAGAATGATGTGATTTTAAAATGAAAAAGATTATTTGATAATTTACGGTATTACAAGTTGGTATCAAAGCCTTGGTTTGAGGGATTCAAATGCACATTCGGGTATGTCTGGACTAAAATTAAGGATTTGAGAAAAAAAATCTAAAAGAAATGATTTTTCTAAACGAGTAAGAGTATCTAAGAGAAAAATTCAACCAGAGCCCGAATGGTGATTTCCCAAAATATACTTAATAGTTTACTTTATGAGATATTAGGGATGCATGATAGAGGATAGGCTAGGTATTTCATATTTTAGGGCTAGAGTTACCTGATTTGTGATGCCTTAGCCTAGGGGATGCTATTGCTCGATGTTATATGTTATTTGCCTTGAGTATCTGCTGAGTAGGAGCAGCTAGCACGAATCTTTTAGAGAGTGCTTTGAGTAGCTGAGTAACCTAGGATAGATGCTTAGATGAACATTTGAGGAGTCTACTAAAAGAGTAGTTAGATACCAAAATAGTGGGATTGCCTGAGTTCGGTGATACCTTTTAAGTTATGGATAGAGAAAGTGGAATTGTATGCTAGATTGGTGATATGTGTTGGTGCACTATAAGAAAAAGACCCTTTTACGATGCTCAGACCACGACACTCATTGATTTATGCTACGTAAAAGAGAGTGACATTGAAAAAGTGTCATCTCTTCGAAAAATTTAAGGATTTATGTCGCGCATTATTGTGCGCCCTTAAGTTAGTGTCTAAAAAAACACGGAGGGCACCTATAATAAAATGCGCATCGTCTAAGGATGTCGCTTTATAAATTTTAATGGAACACGCGTTTTCAACCTTTAAGACCTAAGCGGGAAACGAAATCCCCATTTAGAAAACCCTGCGTTGTTCTCATCTTCCTTCGTTTCTACTTTTCTCTTTTCCATGGTTTGGTTTGTGAATTCCAAAGTTATCACACTCTAGGGCTTTTTTCAGAATTCTTTATTTCTCCATTTCGGTCTTTCTCTCAAAACGTCAAACAGGTTGAAAAGATTTGAGATGGTGGCTCGAGGGAAAGAATAGGGCAACGACGGTGGCTCCAAAGAAAAAGACGCCACACCGGTGACTTTAGGGATGGAAGATAACTACGATGAGTGGTCACACCTCGAACCCTAGATCTCGCCTCCTACCTTCCTACATCTCTATGGCAACGGTGGCTCAACAGAAACCCCACCACCTTTAACGGAGGCTCGAACCCATTGATTATCTCACTTTTCTCCTTTGTTTCGGGGATAACAACTAATGACAAATCATCAACTTCATTTTGTGATTAAAATGCTTGATTTTTTCTATTCACATATGATTGCATCAACAGCTCATCCAGTCTCGCACCAAAATCACTTTGAAGAAGATTAGAGATTGTTCTTCTACAATCGCGAATGACATCTACACCCTCGTCTAAAATCACTTGATTTGTCTATCTGTTCGTAAGTTGTGCGAGTTCAAATCCGTTGTCATTATTATTATCATTATCAAATCAATAGAAGGCGTTGCTCCTACTTTCTAGGGTTTCAACCCACTCTTGTGAATGAATTCTAGGGTTTTAATCCATTGTTGGGCCTATCGGCTTCCATTAGTGACAAAGGGAATGATCATTTTAGGGATGTTACAGATCTTTCTCCACTTGCTGGCATGGTAATAATATATATCTACTTGCCAATGATTCTACTTTTTTTTTTGTTTTTCTGTGAACTCTATGAATTCATTTTTCACCAATGTGTTTCTTAGGATGGTTTGTTGGGTGTCTCTGCTTATAATGCAGACAAGAACTGCACATGCCTCTTCGTATCATCAAAATCAACCCCTTATCAATCTATTCCAACAAAGGTTAGCTCAATGATTTCCATTAGGTATTGAACAAAATCGCCTTGACCTAAAAGGATATATATTTTAATAGCTAGACAGTGTTCTTTAAACTTATATTGGTTAAAAATAATATCCATTAAATGTTTATCTATTCTTTTTGATGATTCAGTGACTAAAGATTCAAGTGCATTAGTTTCACCATATCCAAGACCCCCTCTCTTAGGATTTGTCCATGTGGAAGACTGCAGGATCCATAAACTCCAAATCACCACCCAGAAGAGGAATTTGACTCATCACTTGGTATTCCATTTATTTGATGATTATTATCTTACTTCAGTTGCTAATGCTTCAAAATTATTAGTTTATGACCTTTTCTTATCCTTTTAAGTAATAAATCTTGTAATATATTATCTAAAGTTTAGGAGTAAAAGTTTAGGAAATCCCTAATGAATTTCTTTGATTTGTGTAGCTTACCTGGCCATGTGGATACTAATTTATCATCATATATTTCAATAACTATATAAAAAATTTGATGTCACGGGATCAAGAACAGGAAATTCTACCAAAATCAGTTATGCCTTCTGCAACCAGTATGTACAAATTATGGTTTTATATCCTTGTAGAGTTGTAGGCACATGTTACTAATCACATTTACACATTTAGTAAAGTTTGGATGTTATCTTTTTCAGGCTTTTAACACCCCCGGGTACTCCTCTCGTTCCTTCACTGGAATCTGAATTACAGAAAATAGTCATGAATTAGAATGGAGCTTCTATAGATCATCATCCAAATGCACCAAAATCTAGAGTAAGACCCACTATTAATGAAGGTATTCTACAGGGCCAGGATGCTTGTCGTTTGGATATGGAGCCATTGAAGAACTTGGACCCTTCTGTGTCAACAGTGATGGAAAAACACTCTACCCCAACCACTATGCATGGAACAATGGTAACAAAAATTCCTTTAAAAATTCCTTTAATTACTATGTCCCTTTCACATCACTTCTAATCTTAGTCCCTGTCTTGCTGGTGCATGCCTAACCTTATAAAACCCTATTGCTGAAAGATGACAGTGGCCAATGTACTATTCTTGGAGTCGCCAGCTGGAGTGGGATTCTGGTATTCAAACAGATCATCTGACTACACGACAGGCGATAACCAGACAGCTAAAGATTCTTACACTTTTCTAGTCAACTGGCTTGAAGGATTCCCCGAATACAAAATCCGAAGCTTCAGATATCCAAAGCTTCAGTTAGTAGAAACAGGAGTACTATCATTGTCCCAGTAGGAAGCACTAGATATGAAGGGTGGAGTGCATTCAGGAACATCTTGGAAGAAATAAATGAAGCATCTAATCTTTTAAAAGTGACAAGAAGCAATCTTAAGTGACTTCATCTACATCTAGTAGGAAGATGGAGGGCCAAGTGCCAAAGGTTGTTCCTGTTGAGTCAAGTAAGATCCCAGCTGTTGCCTTAGGGTCTTCTGAAAGTGGACATGTGCCAATCTTGTTGACTTCCAAGGACACATCTGCATCCAAGAAACCATCAGTATCACCTTCACTAGGGGAATATTTGTCCGAAAAAAGATCCTATTTTGATTCCATCACAAGATTCACAACTGTCTGTGGATATTATTAGACGTGAGGTTGGGAGTAAAGTAGCTGGAGTTGAACAAATTCAAGAGACCCTTCTTGTGAGAACTTTTTTTTTAAATTTATTTAATCACCATGTTTAATAACAAATTACAAGATTCCTTTTATACCCTTGAACTTAAAATTCTCAATGTCACTATACTTCCTAAATGGCTAGATCACTAAATGACATATAAATCCTTAATCAGGTACAATTCCAGCAGACTGCAGGTGTGAGTCTTTTGTTATTTTTTCAATTTAGTTTTTTTTTAATAATAATAATATATAAGTGTGTTGATGTTAACTTACAGTTGATAGGTGTCTTCTCCTTTACTAGAGAACAAAACTACAATGACACCATTATCAATATCTTTAGTTCGATAAAATCCATAACTGAGTAAAAACAAAAAATGGGAGGCTGTTGTTGCTGCTTTTCTAAAGGAGTAGAACTCAACACTTCACCCCGATTCTAACATGTTAGTATACTGTATGGGACTGTGAAACTACCATCTTACTCTTCAAGTTATCCAAATGTTAGTTTTTTTTTCTTGATTATGCAGTATCCAATAGCATCAGAGGAGCGCCAACCTTTGTCATCATCAGTTTCTGCACACTGTTTGTGGATACTCTTCAAAGAGTAGGAGCAAAAGCAGAGTTGATGTTGTATGAGGGGAAGACTCATACTGATGTGTTTGTTCAGGTAGTTTATTAAATTTACATTTTTGGTCCCTGAGTATGATTGATTTTTGCAAATTTGGTCTCTAAAAGGTTATTTTCAGCGAATTTTGGTCATGATTTGAGGTTCTTATAACGTTTTTGGTCCCTCTTCCAAAGAAAAATTGAGCTGATTTTAGAAAAATATTTTACTACCACAACTTGTAATGTTGATGCTAGCAAACGTCAAGCTTATTTTCTTCCAAATTTGGACATTTTTTCTACATTTTAGCTTCTATTATACAAATTTAATTCATGGTTTTGTTTTTTTTCTTTCTCTAGTATTTGTGGCAGATTTTTTGGTTAAACCCAATGGCACCAATGAAGTTTACTAAAAACAATCTTTCCTTAAGAAACACCATGTAGAATTTGTTTAATATAGGGTTAGTGTTGTGGCTTATGAACTTCTTTCTCAGGTATGCTTATTGTAGTTTGACTTTCATTGACAATCTTGACAGACAATAATTTGTGTAACAATAAATCTACAATTACAGCTTCAAGATTGGAATAATAGAAGGCAATTTTTACACCCTGGTAACTTCCATACTGATGGTGTTAATGATCACTTCATTTCTCAGGTAATAATTATTTACTTAATTCACATATTTTTTTATAAGTTTGAGTTTGTGATGATTAAAACGAATCCATCTATTTACTTAATTCACAGGCGATGACTGAAAACACAAGGGCATATGACATACTGAAACAAGCTCCTTTCTTGGTGCCATTTACAAGTAGAGTTAAATTATTCACAGTGAGTTCATAACTTATAAATTATAATCTATTCATAGTCATACTATTTTTTTTACTAATTACATTTTTATCAAGCTATATAGTCACAACTTGCTGCAATTAAGGAAAGGCCAGGGTCTCATTCTCTTTTAAATAGAAGCACTTTTAAAAGGTACTTTCTCCGGTTAGCAATTTCCCATGATTTTCTTTCCCTCCTTAACTTTGTAGTTACTAAGTTTAGTCTTCATCCGTTATAGGCTATCAATTTAGCAATGGGATTATGAGTTAGATATGAAAATTAAGGGGAAGTCAATTGGTCAAATAAATAAGGTCATAGGTCTTCCATTGAAGGGTTGGCCTCTAACTGTAAGTTTCCTATAGAAGTTTCTTTCAGTAATATATAGAATTTCATAGTTTACATTGGGGTTGACATAAGAATACAAATGCAGGGAATTGACCAACTACGCCCTGGTATAGGTCTTCAAGTCCAGAAACCCAATTTACAGAACCCAAATCAGTTTTATTTGGCATCACAACAACAGCAGCAACACCAACATCAATAGCAACAACAAGTATTAGCACATGCTCAGGCACAAGGAAAACTGGATGCATCACCAAATTACAGATTTTCTAGATTATCAAGAGGCAATATAATCATGAAAGATGGTCAACAGTTGAGAAACGAAGGATCTAATGGCATCTTCAAGAATGCTAAGGTACTTAACACTTTTTTTTAATATTACAAATATTTTATATTGTAAAATAATCTTTCTTGTTTTCTCAGAACATTGAGCGCCTAAAGAAGTACTTTGATATATGTGGTGGTCCAGCAAGCTTTATTCAGGTGCTTCTTTTATATTTCTTTTTAGATTGAATGCTTTGTGTAACTTCCACATGGTGCACCTTAAGTTTTCCCCTAACTTCCATTTTCATAAGTTTTCTAGGTTTAAAAAAGATTATGAAAAAAGGAAGTCATGGATCCTAAAAATGACCGACTCAGTAACTTCCACATGGTGCTCCTTAAGTTGCCTGTAACAGGCCTCTAAAAGATTCTCCTGTTCTTATGTATTTGCCTAGTAATTTGTGTTTGGTTATAAAATTACACAAATTACCATTTTACCCCTGCAAGATATGCTTATATTTACTTCCTAATTGGATGTGATACTTTGTGTAGGGTTGGAAGGAACTGGAACTGGCCTTGTTGTACATGAGAAAGCTCTTGGAAAGTGAATTGAATTTGGCTAAGTCATTATTAAGTGAGATGGGCCAATGTACAACTACTTATCCATATAATCAGCAGTTTGGAGCATTAGTCTTAAAGAATTATGAAAGGCAAGATGCAACTTTACTTAGTTGAAATTTGATGTACATAGTAGATTAGATGCAAATTTATATATTGTAAGAAATAGAATTGTATAACATTAAATTTATGCAATGGATTCTATTTTTTGTATATGATATTTTATTTTCTATTATGAAACATTAAATACAAATTTAATTTGAAAATAAGTAAATCTATAAATAATAATTTTTTTAAACATTTAGAATTATGATACGCAAAAATGTGTGTCATCTTCATTTATGACATGGCCTTTCTTGATAGAGGCTTTCTTGATACGCATTGCATGTCATTAACACGCGCGTCGTAAGGTTACGACACGTGAATGCGTGTCGTCTTCCTTTATGACAGGGCCTTCCTTGATAGGCATTGCGTGTTGTAAACGCGCGTCATAATTGCGCGTCGTAAATGAGCGTCGTCAATGCGCGTCGTCTATAGACGACGTGCAAAAGCGCGTCATCTCTCTTTATGATAGGGCCTTCCTTGACGCGCATTTGCACATCGTCTGAGCTTTTTACGACGCGCAATGAGCGTCGTAAACGGCTGTTTTTCTAGTAGTGGTGGGAGCTATTCGATGCCCGAATGTTGTTGCTTTGCGCTTTGTGGAACTCTTGAATGATGGGAGTCAGCTACTAAGCGAATATGACGATATTCGGGAGGTAGGTGACTGGCGTCATGAGGGTTTTTCAACAGCTGATGGCAAAGAAGTGTAAGTACCTAAGAAGAGACTAGGGAGTGAACTTAGTCAGATAAGTAAGCTGATAAGGGAGAGTACTTGCTGGAGAGCGAGCATGTGTAATGAGATTGGTGATCGAGGAGGTTAGGAAACTACTTAGGAAATCTGGGATGATTCGTGAGGAAAGTATGGGTAGATGTGGAAGGTAGTATGGGCTCGTACTACTGAAAGCAGAGGACTGATACTCGAAACAGGGAGAATCCCATAGGTTCTAAGTAGCAGATTGAGAGGAGATAACATGGTTTGAGTACCATGAGTAGTAGCAAACTGAGAGGAGATAACATGGTTTGAGTACCATGACTAGTAGTAGACTAAGAGGAGATAACTTGGTTCGATTACCATGAGTAGTAGCAAATTAAGAAGAGATAACATGGTTGAGTACAATGATTAGTAGTCGTTAGTGTTTCTGTCTTTACCAATTGTCTGGTTGTGGTTGTTTAGACTAAGAACTGATGTGATAAAGTGTGGGGCCAAAGGGCCATGTCGGACGAACTTCAATACAGCGTACATTAAGAGGGATATTGAGTTAGATCCCAAGATATTTTATTGGTGAGATGCCAGTTGGATTCACAAGACTCAAGGATGAGTAGAGATGGTGTTTCATGGAGGATTGTGATCTGAGAAGACCAATCGTTCGATAGTGAAGATATCACTTTCTGTGATGAGAATTGTGCTACCTCTATTTCTTGTGTGGAGCGAAAGGGATAACGAGCTTCCGGTTTCAAAGTTGGAGGTAAACCACATGGGGTAACATGTGGTTGCTACCTTTTCACCAGAGTATTTGGCTAGTATGTCTGATGCAAGGTATTTGTTATATCATGAGAGAGTCATTAGTAGGGACTGAGATGGATGTGGACAACGGTATGCATTCATTGAATGCAGTAAGGCATAATCAGTAGTAGTCCGGGTTATCAAGAGGAATATATCGGGGCGGTGGCCCTCGTGGTTTACATCAGACATCGATGGTGAGAGTGGGATCTCTTGCTTCTATAATGATCCACATGATCGAATGTTGGTTGAGGGATCAGGGATGAGATGTGTGATGGTGCATTACTATCAGACAGATGGTGACGTCTACTTTGGAACAGTTTAGATGTTCAGTAGTGTGTCGGTATGGGATTTTGGTTACTAGGGGCAGCCACGTTGGAAAGTTTCCAGGGATTTCATCTGAGATTTGGGATATTTGGAGTTGCATGGTCTTTAGTAAAAGATCATCGAGTGTTATGTGGTACATTTCAAAGTAAGTGATTTGTACCTGGTGAAACAGTATGTGGTGTAGTCTATTGGTATGCCAATTGGCGATGGTTCAAACCATAAGTGGGGGAGAACTAGGGTATTTTGTTGAGAGGATCAACAAACCGTGCAAGTAAGGTTAGAGGATGGGTTATGAAGATCTGCGACACGGACTTACGAGACGTGGGTTATGGGTAGACAAGGTCAGATACAAAGCGATATGATGTATGTGTATATGCTTAAGAAAGGATGAGTGAATCCATGGCAGGTGGCCTTTGGTCAGAGAATTTATTGTGGCCAAGGATTTTTCGCGTATACAAATGTTGATTACGAGGCGGTTGGGTCGCTAAGGTCAAGGTGCAATAGCTGAGATTTGCGGGTTTAAGTATAGATTGTGATCTATACTCAAGGAGGGGCAACAATTGATTTTTCAACCAATTTTTATCAACGTGTTTTCAGTCATTGATGATTCCTCCGTGTTTCAATTTATGAGATTAGAGTATTTCAAGGTTATGAGCTGTGTGAGTGAAGATCAGTGGTTGAGGCAAGACATCGTGAGATGTTGTGATGGTGTACTGAGGTACCCGAGTATGATGTCCTAATTTTTGGTCATGTTGAGACTCGAGTTGTGAGATGGAAAAGTGGAGTACTGAATGACTATTATTCTAGTGGGAATCCATCAGTTAATTATCGTTGGAGTGGGACTGTCTAAGGGTGTATCTGTGCTGAGAAAAGTGCCTTGCCTACGAGAATTTACATAAGGAGTGGTGGTCTATAAGCTAGGTGGGTGTGTGCACCTATCGCTGTTGGACTACGAAGCATGAGTTAGTGAACTCAGTGTAGTAATGACTTGATGATAAGATTATGGGGGTGATAAGAGAGCGAGTGGATCCAAGTAGGAGTAATAAAATTGGGATTATCAGGGGAACACCATGGAGTAAGCCCATGGAGTATCGTCATACTGCAAAGGCTTATAGTATTCACCAGTCAGCGAGAGAGTGTTGTGATACTTGTTGAGTTTTTAGCATAATAACACTCCTAAGTGTACATGCAACCCTAAATACCTTGGATCTATGTTTCCTCTATTATACATGCAAATATGAATATTCCAAGGTATTACCCTATCTAGCATACAATCTTATATACTAGGATAACAAAACTAGATAGAATACATACCTTGTTGTTGTAACTTGTCTTCATGAAGCTTGAATGCCTAGTGCACCAAGTGTGACACATCAAATGGTTCACACAACACCATGAACACTTGGAATAACCATGAGAAGAAAACACTCCAAGCTCAAATTGACTAGCCCTCACATCTGTATCACTTGTGCCAATTTCTTGAGCTAAAGGGTCCTTATATAGTGTGCACATTAGGGTTACACCATGTAACCCATGACTTTACCCATTCCTAATGCTCCATGGGTTTTAACCTCCATGGAGTATCCATGGGCCACCACATGGGTTAAACCCAACGTAAGGAATTTTGGATCATAAGCCCACATATATAAGAATGAATGATTTACACAATCAATCCTTATATATTTAATTAGTCTCTTTTGATCACTAAATTAAGTCCAAATTAACTCTTGATCAATACTAGTTAAATAACATGATTTCATATTAATATATTAGAATTTATAATATATTAATATGTCACAAATGTCTTCTTCTCACAAAACGGTCTATCCAAATGTCCCGATGCCATGCAACCCAAATGGATCATGCCGAGTCGGGTCAAGTCTTAACAATTATAGTTATAGACTTAGACATTAATCCAACAATATCCCACTTGGATAAGTCAAAAACTATTATTGAGTATGACTTCAAACCCCGACAAGCAATCGTAGCTCTCAAAAGCTTCTGTCGAACTCTGACGTGTTAACTGAACTCTGATCTTGTCAATGACTTGTCCATTAGATAAGGGATCATATATTCTTCCATTCTAGATATCAAATGGACTGAGACATGGATTATAATCACTCTCTTTGTCCATTTGTCGTTTCTTGATTTTCGATTTATGATGACTGACTGACTGAACAAATCAAATCAGTCTTGGATTGGCCAAGCACTCACATGTATCATAATTAAATCATCGAGGGGCCCATAAATATCGCTTTTATCCTGAAGGTAAAAGGAATGGGTAAACTTCGACTCATATGGCTTGTTCCACTACTTGTTGAATCATACACAAAGGTACGTTTTATGACATCGAGTTACCAATGCAGTTTCGTGCAATAAATGTATAACCAACTCATAGTAACAACTCATATCTCTAGGTTTGAAGAATATAAGATATTATCGTCTCATGATCACTCGTGATAAAATCCATGAAGTGATTCCAATGAGCGCGGGTTGAATCCAATACTCAGAACTTATGAGCACTCATGAGTGTTGTAGCACCACTTTGTCCAACATCTTAGACCTCTACAAGCCAACCCATGACAGTCTTGATTCATATCTACTTCCAACATATGACCGAATGTGGATGATTTGAATAACTTAGTCATTTGGAAGAATGACCTAGTTTATTCTGGAAGTCAAAACATTCAAAATGAAACACAAGAATAATTGAATCTGATATGCTATCAAAACCTATGAACATAAATAAAACACTTTTTATTTATCACCATACTGATTACTCATTATTCATTGTTTCGGTTTTATCAACTTTATCCTTGAATTAAAAACACTAGTTGTCCCATGCTCTAAGCATGTACACTATGTTTTTCTAAGCAATAGCTTTGCCATACACCAAGTATGCACTCTATGTTTGTCTATGATCCTTACTTTGTGAAATAAACCAATTGAACATAATTTCAATTATTCTAATTCCACACTCCCAAATCCTTATTGAAAATGTAAGAATTTCAAATTCATATCATTTATCAAAATCTGTTAGATTTTAAACTTATATGCACAGATCCTCTTGTAATGACTTTGTACAAAGTCATAAAGACTTGTCAAAAGACATTACAGAGTATTCCAATGTAGATCAATTCCATGGGAAACATCCTTCTTGCATTAAGTTTTTCTAATCTTACACAAA